GCCCAGAAGACTACATCGAAAAAGTGACCTGTAGACACCTCTATTACATACTACCTTGAAAGGACTTTCTGTCACAAATGCATTACGCGAACTTTTGAAAATCATTCGATGTTTGCTTCAAAATTCCATAGGAACATGTTCAACTCATAAATACCTGAAATTCTAATAATAATCAACAAAAATAGTTTGTACATAATAAAATATCTTTTCTTTTTGTATAGTCTATACTGAGTTATATAATTCAAATTGAAAATAGAAGTATTCTATTAAACTTGAAATGAGTCATATATTGTTTCGAATACTTGTGCAATAGATTTGTTTGCTATGTAAATTACAACCCATCATGACTGAGTCTAAAAATTTTGGCATTTATGAGAGAAATATGTAGGATGTGTTGGTTGTCGAATACAAAAACCGGAAAAAAAGTATTTCATACATATCTTTGGGACGATTATTCAGTGTCGATTTGGAAATTTCACTGGAAGTATTAAACTACGATTCGACCGGGGTTCGGATTTCAGTTTCAAAGACGTTCAATCGACTGGGTCTGAATCCGAAAACTTTGGATCCTCCGGGCATTAATGTATATAGTTTTGCCTCATTGACAAGGGTCTACACTAATATGATGATGAAGAGTGCTTAAGTAAATATTTACTAAAATGAAACATTCTATTAATAAAATCAACAAGAAAAAAAGGATATTTAACTTATTTTTAAAAGTTTTACCTGAGTGAAAGTACTTTAAATAAATGTTCATTTTGTCGAAGAGCATTTGATAATTCATCAAAACTAATATCACCTGAATGATCAACATCAGTTTCTTGAAATAAAGTAGCAGTTAATTCTGCTAATGTTTCTTCCATATCAAGTGAAGGAGACTGTTCAAGAAAACAACGAAATAATAATTTCATTTCATCAAAATCAATTGTTCCATCACCTTAAAATGATTATTAATAAAAATTTATTTCGTTTAATTCTTTTTTATTTCAATATAACAAACCATCACGATCAAAAATTTTAAAAAGAAATTCAACTTTTTCATTATCATTTGCTTCAGTAAGAAATTCTAAATTTCTTATAAATTTATCTAATGTTAATTGACCCGTTTTATCTGTATCAAGATAATTAAATAAACAATCAGCTAATTCAGGCTTTAAATATTAAACATTCAAAAAAAAAGCAAAAAAATTCTTGTTTCAATAATAATAATAATACATACAACTTTGAATTGAAAACTATTTTTAAATGTTTCAAGATCCATACTATCTTCTAGTTGAGTTCCATTATGCGTTGTACTACGACGTTTACTGACTGCCATATGAAATTGATAAGCAAGCCATGAAAGCCATTTTGTATCTGATTTAAGACTTAAAAAAAAAGAAAATCAAATGATCAATATTGAAAGATTAAAATGAAATTTTTTTTAACAAACTTGGCAACAGAATGAAGTATATCAGTAAATTCCATTACACTCATTAAATTTGTTTCACCAATAAATAACAAAGTAAATTCTCGTCGAAACTAACAAAAATAGAAATAAGCTATTACGTCTTGTCTTTTTCTTTCATGATTGATGAATTACATACTGATGTATCTTCAAATAATATACAAAATTCATCTATAGAAAGTGAATCATACCCATGTGAAATATGCCTAAAAGCACGTATGAACGGTTCGAGTGTTCGAACATCTTTCGTGCGATTGGATATCCTGTCAATATATAGATATATGAGATCAAATGTTTGTTGAGACAAAATAAATGAAAATATCATGTACACATACTCAGCTACTTTGTATACAGATCCAATCCATTCAGATTCAGAGAGTAAACCGCTTGTATCACGATCGAACAAGCAAAAGAGCGTCTTCAACAATAGCTAAGAACAAAAAAAAAAGAGAAAAAAAATAAAACTAATGATCATGTTTCGTAAATATAAGTAAAGAGCATGAGAAAAGATATTTGAGAGTGTTCATTCATACATGTTGACGTAGGTGATGCATAAGTTCTTGGAAGTTTATATGTGTACGACCGATAAGTTGACGTTGCCATCGTTGTATAAGAGCTTCCTTATTCAATGAAACAATACTTATTGATGTCATCGGATATATGTTGTGAGTTCATGTTAAATTCATACGGTGATTTTATACTTCTATCTTTCTCTTTTTCTTTCTCTCTCTTTGTATTGTTCTACAATACTTTTTGTGCTATTACAATATCAAACATAGGTGATAGTCAAGAATCATCTTAACACGTGCCATGGTTATTTATTTATTTATTTCTAAGGTACCTTACACTTTTGTATGATCAAAAGAAAAAGACCAAAGCGGCATAAATATCGATAACAGTCTTTGATTATTTCGTTATCATTGTCACCTTTACTTGAGAAATTATAGTCTTTTTGTTACAAAACTTTCAATTAGCATATGATTATCATTTGTTTCTATGTTCTTATTCTAGTAATTCGGAAATGAACAACATATTTTATTTGTCTTTCTATATTGTGCAAAATATACATATATATCATAGATTAAATTTATCTAAAAGAAAAGAAATGATAAAACTTATATATGATCAGAAAGATGTTGAAAAATATAAAAACTGCTGTAAAATGAATAATTAGAAAATATATACTTCAATGTCTCAGAAGTTAACTTCAAATAAGAGACAATAAGTAATGTTTAAGTTCGCATAATTTCTTCTAGTTTTATTTAGTCTGTATGAACACAATTTTATTTATTTCCTTTCTGATGATTATATAATATATATAGGATCATTTTACTACATTCAACAAAAATATTTAGATGCCCTTTTAATGTTTTTTCTTTTCTGATGAGTAGTATATAATCATTACTACATATAATATTTTATAATAAAAAGCAGAAATCATCTAATCTTTGAATAATTTCATAGTAAATTGATTACATTATTGAAGTTTGTCGCTATTTTGAAATCAACAATTAGCAAAAAAAAGATAATCGAAGTCAGTTTCGAAAAGTGTCGATATATGAGGCCAAAGAAACATCATCTAGTGACAAGCTATTTTAGATGCAATACTAATTTCTGTACATTTTTTTAAGTAGAATAGCTTTTATCTCGATTGTTATTGATCGAAATATACTTGACAAAATCCATATTGAAGTAAAAATATTCAGTACTTTAAATTATTTTAAGAAATGAACCTGTAACAAAAAGATTCGCTGTCATTTGAGTTACCTAGCCATCAAAGAATGAAGGTTTCTTGCTTTCAATATAATTTATTCTTTACTTCCAAATGCTCTTTATCATAGACATTGGTAGAAACACTATTCAAAAAAAATTGAATCATGTATTACACAACTAACTCTGTATTAATTATAGAGAACTTTATAAAATATCCATTGCTAAAAATAATATTATTTTATTTTATTACCTTGTCCCTGAAATCAATGACTTACAAAATTGGTAGATATAGAAAAATAATATTTTTCTTAGAATTATGTTTTTTTACTTGCAGACTATATGCATCCCAGAGATGTATTGTGTAATATATATATATATCAACAGAATTGTTTATTAGTGAATCAAGTGCCTTTTACAAGTTTCCCCCTATAGCTTGACAGATAAGAGATGTGAAATCAGTAAATATACCCTGCAGTGACCATCAGGAGGTAAAATAAGAAATAACGTATATCATGTATATTCGTTATTGTAAATCTTATGTTATTATAAGTTGAACAAAATATTGATCATCGACAAAATGTTTTCATTCATAATATATTACTATCTAAACACTAATGAAATGTTTCTAAAAATCTTTATATCTCTAGTATACATGTTTTCTTAAAAATACTTTTCATAACATTAGTCTTTCCTCTATTGTATTAGTCCTATCAAAAAAAAAAGATACTCCTTTTGTGTACTCAAAACCCACATTCTAGTAGAGAAAAAAATTTCGATTGTATTGTTTTGTATTAGTCGTTCTTCTAAAACCGTCAGAGAAGATAAAACGTTAAGTCCATCTGATTTATCACTATTCTACTGATTCACCCAATATTGTAACATGATTGTTTTTAACTGATTTTCTCCTCCAGATAGATTCTTCTCTTTATATTCCGTAACCATAGAATTTGAATATGTGCACAGATTTCTATATTTTTTTCGATTAACTATGATGCTATCATTATCTTTAAAAAAAAATCATTTCGTATGAAAATTACAAATCTTATTCATTGAACAATTTATCTCTTTGGTCCTGTATATTATATTTTCAGTCAAATTTTCTTTTCAAAAAAACAAAACGAAACATAAATCATCTCGCAAATTGAACTTTTCCATCATTGTCTCAAGTTCGCTCTCTCTCTCTCTCTCTTCAAGGAAAAACGACAAAGATCAAAATTCCATATGTCATGGACTTTAAAAAAAACCACAAGACGACAAAAACAAAAAGAACAAAAAAAAAAACAAATTGACAATTACAAAGTGTCGATCATGCTGAAAGAAAAAAAATCAGAACGTTGAATGATCAATGTGTTGCAAGAGCACAAACAAAAAGAAAAGAAAACGAACGAAACTTGATGAATAAAGGCAACTATATGCATTGCGCAAGATACATACACAAAAAAAAAGAGAGAATGCAATGAATGAAAAACAAAAAAGATACGTTCAATTGTTATTCTTCTTTTTTTTTTTTTTTAAGATTTACATGCAACATAAAGAACCGGTAATCGGTGACTTTTGTTGTCAAAACAGATAGAAAAATGTGTTGGTTTTTTGTTTGAGCTGCTGAACGTAGAAAACAAAACAAAAAAGACATAGAATTTACGAAAAAGCAATAAATGCGCACAAAAGACGACATCAAAACTCAAAAAAAAAAAAGAGAAATATGAACACCGGTCATGAAGAAAAATCGAGAACGAGAAAGAGAGAGAAACATTCGAATTTTTATGTAAGATATATTTAAATTTATATTCATATGTATATAATATATATGTAGGTCAATGTTCGGTTTGTTTTTGTGATTTTAAGCAGCTCCACTTGTGACTGCAGATGATTCTTGTTGTTGATGATGATGATGACCCATTTGATCCATCATACTATTAGGACTTGATGACACAGGATAACCACCTGGATACATCATCATCATTGGATTTCGAAATTGTGACATCTGAGCATAAGATCCAAATATATCTTAAAACAAAAAATATTTTTATTAAATCTTGTCTTTTTTTTTTTTTTTTAATTAGAATTTTTTTATGTTTTACCATGAGGTGTTGTTGGATAACCTCCACCAAACTGATAATGCATAGCAGCCGCTGCAGCTGCATCAGGAGAATATGGACCAAAGCAATCAGAAAATTCAGTTGGGATAGACGCTAGAAAAAAATAAATAAGATATGAAAAACAAAATATTATTAATTAAAATAAGTAAGTTTGTTTTTTTTTTCTTTTAATTTCAATCATTCTCTTTCTCTCTTTTATCGCCTGTGCTATTTCACGCATTCGTGCAAATAATTGACTTTGACAGCAAGAGGAAAAAGGAGAAGCCAAATAGGAGGAGCAATAGCATACGACAATTGTTCAAGTGTCTTTTTGAATTAGATTAACTATTCTGTCTCTCTCTCTCTCTTTCACACACACACACACATTCTTGATGATCATATAGAAAATCAATCTAGTTTTAACCATTGAAATGTCACTCCAGATTTCTATCGATTGAAATCTGGGCGGGAATGGTAGCAATTGTCAAGCAAAGAGAATAGAATGTATTCATCTGCCATACAAACGGCAAAATGAATTACATTTCTAATATAAGAAAAAAAAAGCAGTAGAAGAAATGAGCAGTATGCATATACACACACGCACAATGATGCAGAAGTTGAAATAAAAGCTACCTTTTTGATTATGAGCTGGAAAAAAGAAAAGAAAAGAAAAATATTTAAAATTTTGTTTTTGTTTCGTTTTTTTTTCTCTGTGTTTCTCATATGATGTAATAAATAAATAAATAAAGAAGGAAGCATTAGATATAAAATCATATTAGAACTTCAATCGATGAGCATTAGACACTCTTGCCTTTCGTTATATATGAAAGGGATGATCGTTGAGGAATAACTGCTGATGCTGACGCTGTTTTTACTGGTATTTTAGCAGAATTTGTTCGACGAGATAAATTTTTTGAATTCTGTGGTAATTCTCGAGTTTGTTTTAAATGATTACGTCGATTTGTAACAGTATTCATAGATACATATATGAAATTTTGTCCATCAACATCTTTACCATCATTTAGTTTTAACTTACCAGCACGATTTGATTGGTCAATCATTGGTTGTACAATACGACGTCTGGCATTGATAAACCTATATATACATGAAAAATCAAGACAGCATGAGATTCTTTTTTGCTTGAAGGATAAAAGTAGCTTATTAAAAATAACATATATGTATACGCATTTCTTTTAAGTCAATTTAACATGTTTATTTTACTACAATAAACTACAATGACCACCAACAGATACTGTAGAGGTTAATTATCATCTGTGCGGTATATATATATTTCCTCTGATGTTTTTCCGATACATTTACGAAGTTTTCTTTTCTTTTTTTTTTCCCCTTATGATAAAAATCGATAAACCAAATCTTTAGTTATTTCTAACAAAAATAATCAATTTTTTTTTCTCGTCTTTTTGTTTTAGTTAATTATTTAAATTCTTTGGTTTTTCTTTTTTATCAGACTATTTCGTAGACAATATTTAATATCTAACCTATAGATAATAAATTAGATCAGTCAAGTTGATATGACCTTTTTTTTAATGATAAGGCTTTTTTTTTCAATAGACACAAGTTCTTTTGTATATATGACCTCGAAAAATCTGTCAACAAGAGAAGATAAACAGATTTGTTTACAATATAGATATATCTATATGAGCAGTAGGGGAGACCCAAAAGACGAAGTAATAGAAAGAAAAAAAAATGATAAATGATGTCCATCTTGTATATAAGAGATACGGTAACGATTCTAACCCTTGAGGATACACATATATACAAACAAGACTAACTAAAGTAATAGTTTAGATTCTCTTCGTCATTCTACTAATGTGATTTTAATGATGGCGACGACCGATCGTTGTCAACAACATCCGGCCAGATGTTTTTCTTGAATCTTTAACATAAACTCTATCAATATGAAAAGATCTGAAAAAGAAAACGAGAAACAAACGTGACCTATCATCATTTAGTTATACTGAACGGCTGTTGCACGCATTATCATCATCAACATCAATATTGGCGCAATAGTCTCTGTTGTTTTGTTTGATCCTCTCATTTCTTTTTTTTTTCTTTTTTAATTTTTACATGATGATGATGAAAAACTCGCGTGCATGCATATAATGATAATCATCATGATAATGTTTGCCGCTACAAGCGTATCGTCAGCTGGCTTATATATTTGTGTAGCATCAAACACATTTAGGCGACAAATCGAACCGCTATAGACATATTTATATATATTCTAATCGCATTTTATCACGAAAACTTCGTTCTTTTTTTTTTTTTTTTTTTTTGACAGTTCAATTGCTTAATATGTATATATGTGAGAATGTATATAACGCTTGAAGATCTATCTTCTTAATTTTCTATATGCACGCTATATTAACATCGTTCTGGTTGTTACACTGACAAAGAGTATCAGTGAACGAACTGTTTACTTTACTAATTGAGCGTGCGATTGCTTTATGTTGATAATTCGTCGGACAGATATATATGTATATTGTATATAATAAGAGAAAAAGAAAAAGCTTGATTATCATTATTGCCGGCATGTAACAATAACAAACTGACGAAAGAGATGAAAAATAAGAAAGGCTAGCCGGCAAATAGTAACAAGTCTCAAAATTGAGAGTAAACAATACATTCAATCATTCGTGTAAGTTTTAGTATATATATTAAATATATATCTTTCAATTGGTGAAAATGGAATAGAATTTTTAACCAATAGAGAAGTTTTCATATTGAATAAAAGGTATTCAAAAGAAACTGTTTGATTGACAATCTTTTCTATTCGTGTATGAATAATTAAAGAAGTATGAATTAATATTTAACTTACCAATTGTTAACTAAAAATCAAAAAAAAAAGAAAGAAAATTATAAATAAAAGAAAAAATCTATTTAAAAATTTATTTTACCTTGTAAAATTGTTAAACCAGTATCTTGAGCCAATTGTTTCTTTTGTTCTTCGGACGGATACGGATGCTAGAAATCAATAAATAATTTTTTTATATTGGGATTTTGTTTTTTGAATATAAAACTTACAGTTAAATGTTGAAATAGCCATGCTCGCATAATATTTGTTGCTACTTTTGGAAAAATACCACGTTTTTTTTGACGTTTTTTTGAATTATCATCAAGATCATCTTCTCCACCTGTATTGTCACCCCCTGAACCAACACTGTTATCAAAATTGTCACCTTTTAAGGAGAACAAAACAAAAAAAAGTGAAAATAAAACACAAAAGATAAATTTAATCGCTTTAAGGCATAACGAAAGGTGAAACCTAATGTACTTAAAGAGTATTCATCTTTTTTCCTTTTCACTCTTTCTTATGGCCAATTATGATTGATTGACAGGACACATATATATATTGAGTAGTAAGTACTAGTCGGACGCGGTAATGCGTCTTGACAGTTGATTTGTGAAATAGCATTAGATTTAAAACGACAAGAGAGAGAGAGAGGGAGAGAAAAACGAGCATTTGAGTATGATTAGCATATAGATTTATTCTGCGAAAAAGAAAAATGAGCGGTATTTAAGCGTTTGTCTTTTCTTTTTCTTTTTTTTTAAATAGAGTGTGAAATCAGAGATGATTTTAATTTTCAGTCTAGCACACAGATGTATTAAATTAATTTATACGAAGTGTAAGATGAGATGAATAGTAAAAGTGAAAAACAAGAAGACGCAGACGAACAACTGTTATTGTGTTTTTTTTTTCTTTTCAAATTTAAATTAATTTTTCTTGATGTGCTGTTTTGTTTTTTTTTCGTTTTTTATTGCTGTTGAAATGATATATATATATATAAATAAAAAGACATGTGAACATCATCAGTCAAATGAATTCGTTTGGGAACTAAAATGAACATGCGGACAGATTGGTAATGTTTTTATTCGCAATTATTTATAGAAATGGAACTGAATGGATAATTTGGAGACTAGCACTGTTCCCTTGCGTGTATATAATGCAGACAATATTAATAATAATGAAATGTCTATGGCTATTTTTTGTTCTTGCTACGTCTATCAGTGATTAGCTTTTTCTATGTACGTATAGAATGGAATAGATGAGAAAAATCTAATTGAAAAAACATACCCGTTTCACTGTTGTTATCATGTAAAACATGATAACCATTATTGGTATTTGCCATATTAGTCATTACAGTTTGATGTGTATTTGGAGTATTTGTATCTGACGAAGAATGTGTCGATTGTGTATCATCATTATGAATTGAATGATGATTTGGCAAAAGATTATTTTGTTGTTGATGAAAATGTTGTTGTTGTTGTTGTTGTTGTTGTTGAGATAAATGATTTAAAAGTGATGGATGATGACCAACAAGATGATTTGAATAAGATGGATGTGGTGGTAGTGGAGGTGGTAGAGGTAATTGCTGTTGAAAATGTGTTGGTGGAGGTGGTAAAGGTGGTGGTTGAAGAAGATGATGATGATGATGATGAGATGGATGACCAAGATGATGGGGTGAAACAAGAGGTGTCAATTGTGAAGTTGTTGCCATCGATGAACAATGTGACGATGATCGAAGCTAAATATAAATAAACGAATTTTTCCATGATGACTTTCCAATGAGAAATAAAATATTGTATACAATTGAATGAATATCATTTACTCATTTTCGTTTTTTTTTTCATTTATGAAAAACAATAAAAAGCAAAAATGTTTGTTTACATATGTTCATTTAATTGTTATAATATATAATAGAATAAATTGATATTTATATAAAACAGGTGTTTGTATGATTCATAATATCGGATAATGTTCAAAAGATTGATGTCAAATGGTGAAATAAAACAAAAAAAAAAAACTACTTACAGATTTAGCTTGATGACTAAGATTATATGTTGATGGTGTTGTTGAACCATCTGGACTATGTTGATTATAAGATGATGAACGTGATGAACTTGTTGGTGGTTGTGGTGGATGTCCGGATGGTGGTTGTGGACTTGTTTGATCATCATCTTGATCATCATCATCACCTGATTTTGATGATGAAACATTTGAATCACGTTCATCGATTACTAAATCCATTGGTAATTTTCCTTTTAAACATGTTATATAACGATGAGTAAAATTATCGCATAATTCATGAACCTAAGACAAAAAAAAAAGAAGATTATTGTTAATGATGGTGTACTTGACTTCTTGTTAATTTTCTTTTGATTGATATTACTGAATGACTATGTCTACGTTATTTGTCTAATAAATCGGTCAACGAGTAGAAAAAGAAAAAGATGTTTCGTATAGTTTCTTAGAAAAATGAGACAAGAAAAGGAGAAATATCAAGCATAGATGTTGATTAAGATAAATCTTTTTTTCTCGACAAGTGTCGACAGAGAAAAAAAAAAACAGATTATAATTATTATTTCGGACTGGCCCTTAGTGAATGTGCACATATTCATCTTTCAATCATTTCTATCTATGAACTATATATAAGATACAATACTTTTTCTAATTCGAGGAGATGAAATCGTAATACTTGTATTGCTTGAACCATCTAAATAATAGTAATCATAATCATAAGTTAATTTTAAATATAAAAAAAAAAAAAAATTTAAAAACATACCACATTGTCTAATTCAGGATTGGTTGTTATATAATTTGGATCTTTTTGAAGCTAGAAAACAAAGAGAAAAAAAAATAGCGTCATAACGGAAATCTATTGAAATTTATTGAGCCATAGACATATTTCCTTTATTTTTATTTTTAACTTCGATCGATCATCAACAAAAAAAAGGCATAGCAGGTGCTTCTGAAACAAAGAATTTCCGGAAACATAAGAACGAGCGTTACACAAAGAAAAAGAAAAATCTGCATATTAGATTTGCGCGAATATAAGATGATGAGTTTTGTTGACCTCTCATCATCATCTTCTCTTGTGTCTTCTTCACATGAAAAGCTAATGACATTTTAATGATACCCTCAAGCTTTTTCTCCCATTTACACCATTGAACAAGACAAAAGCTAACTTGTTTCTAGGCCTTTTCTTTTTCTTTATTTTTGATAAGATGATGATGATGATCTGATTTGCTCTTGGGATGATGTGAGTATTTCTTTATCTTAAATAAGATCAGATCAACAAACAGCACGTGCTTTACAACCATTAGTAACAAGGCATCTTACAGACATATTTTATATGTATATAGACAAAGAATGTCTTTGAGAGGTCTAATCTCATTTTTATTTCATCAAATCAACTAATGAAATATTCATTTGACATAAGTGCTACTACTTTGATTACAAGCACACCTCTCTACTTTATGTCACTTGAATACATTGAACAATATTGTTTGACCTCAGCATGACATCTTTTTTTTAAATCATCGAAGATAAGTTTTTAAGAATGAAAAAAAAAAAGAAAATCCAATTGGCAACATCTGCAATAGTATGACGTGAATGTATATTCTCGTTTTTCTTTTTCTTATTCTTTAAAAGATCTTATCGTAGTTTGTTCATTCAAGTATCAATCTGACAGGAGTGAGGAGGTCATAATCGTCAACTTGTGTACATATGTATACATACATACATACATACACATATATATCTATATATTTATATATGATCTATTATTGACTTTTCACCAGTAGTCAACATATACTTTTCATTTATTTTCTTGTTCAAGTGGCTTATCGGACGTACATCTTGTGATAACACATACAGTAGCTCGATATTGCAAACTACATGTACTTCATATTAACCCTCTGCCTTGTTTTTTTTCTCTTTAACGTGAATACAATGTTGTTGACGATGATGATGATGATGATGATGATGATAAGACATGTACACATATGTTTTACCTGTTTAGTAAATTCTGCAACGTCATCATTAAATGATTCCGATGAACAAACATCTCCTGGTCCACCTGGATCTCTTGGTGTACAAGTTGCTAATTCACATTTTTCAAAGATTAATGCCAATAACGGAAATAATGGATGGCTAAAACAAGAAATGAAATAATAGTGTTGTGTTATCTTCTTTTTTTTCTTTCTTCTTTTTCATAGGTGAACTATAATCATGATCAAACATTAAGAAATTGATCGATCTCTCCGATTTCTTTTATATATTTTTTTTTTCGTTTTTTGCTTCAAGGCAATGTCCATATTCGAAAATTAAAGAGAAAGATCTTTTTATACCTTCGTATTTCAATTATGGTCATATCAATTTACATTTGAGTATTAATAATAATCATAGAAAGAGAAAAAAGAAAGAAAGAAAAACAACCAATAAAAACTGATGTCTATGAGGTCATAATCGTAATAAGTACTTTGCAACGATTTCAGCAACCGATAAAGGAGCAGCAGGCGTAATGATCATCAATCATTGTCATACACATGCGAGAACTCATAGAAAAAAAAACGCAAACCAACACATACATATACACAGTGTAACGGTGGACGAGAAGAAAAAAAAATACCCAATGAAACGATAACATTAGAAAACAGACAACGAAAAGGATCTCTATTGTATAGTTGCATTTGTTTTTTTTTTCTTTTTCTTCGTCTTCTTCTGCAATTTCTTCTTTCCATACTCGTCTTGCCTATCGAATGATTATTAGTTAGTCAGTGGTATGCACTAACGCACATACAAAGGCCATTCACCATCATCACTAGTAGAAAAGCAACAACAACATCATCATCGAAGAGATAGCAACCAACCGAGTGATTAGAAAGATAGGCCAGCCGAAGCGAACAAGATGATTAACAAAGAAATAAACCTATGAAGCGTGTGTGCATGCTTTCTCAATTCTGATATACATCTAGATTTCTTTTCTTTTTATATTTCCTCTGGAATATATCGATGAACTACTTGAACTTGTTTTGTTCTTTTTTTTTTTTTTTTTTTTTTTTGACAATGAATCGTCTTTAAAAAGCAAAGTATATACCAATATCTTACTCTAAATATACTTTCGTCAATAAGGATATAACAAACCAAAAAAAGAAAACGAAAAAGAAAAAGAAAAGTCAGAGCACAAGAGCAAAAACACACGAAGCGTGAAGATAATGATCGGTTTCGAAATTACAGTTGTGTATGTATATGTATGTATGGAAAGAGAGGCCGCATTGAAACAAAATGTATAACTTATATTCGCTCGAAGGTGATTCGCCCCAGTGACTTTCTCATCATTATCATCAGTGAATAGACGAAACAAAAGCTGTTCATCTTTTGCGATTAACAATACAAAAGTGACAACCAAAAATAAAACGTAATCTTTCTCTTTGTCGCTAGTATCAATCGGTCCTACAAACCTTTCTCTTTAATTTTTATTGATTGAAATGTATTACGAAGATCGAAAGACATCTTCATTGTATTATTCTAAGTCATTGTTTAAAAAATAATGATATCATATGGGTACATATGCATACGAAAAAGAAAACAGATCAATTGTCCAGAAACGAAAAAAAAAAACAAAAATTCATTGTTGCTTTCTCTCGCTCGTCTTGTTTTTTTGGAGAATATCAGAGATAAATAAAGAAAAATTTATTTTTTTTTTCATTCTGTTTCCTTTTTTCTTTCTTTCTCTTTTAGTTTTTATGTTTTTTTTTTTATCTACCTGTATATCATATCTTTCTGTTGTTTGAGCTGATTATCGACATTAATACTGTTCGCATGATTGGCAGTTGATGGAGATTCATTGACAGGGCCAAGAAGACTTTGTAAATGATGAGGAACTGGTGGTGGTGGAGAAGTTTCATTACTAAATGTTGAGGAATAAATATTGCTATTACCATCGGGACCGTTTGTCGTCGAAAAATTTCCACTACCATTTCCATAATATGGTCCATTGGTATCTGTGAGTAACTAAATATATATATATATATCAAAAATAAATAAATAAATAAATCTAATCATCAATTGAATGTCAAAATTGACATCACACAAATTACCCTTTGAGCAGCCATTGATCTATCGAAATCGACGTGTTCAAGACGACATGACTAATTTACTTGTCGGTTAGACGAAGACGGCTAGAGATAGATGGATGGATGGATGAAGATCATCATTCATGAAATAAGACAGCGCAGTTGTTTTCTTCTTTTTTTTTCTTCTCTCTCTCTCTCTCTATGTCTATCTATAAATACTTGTCTTGTCTTGTGTCTATTTACGTCTTGGTTGTCGAGTCGTAGCGTGTAATGGATACGCTTTATATCTGTCGAATTTAATAGGAATATGTGACGTGATCGATGTGTGTGATTTGATAGATTTCTGGATGTCAATCTTTATCCGCAAGCGCAAACGTCTCACCTTTTCGCACTTTCTCTCTTTTCTATGCACAAGAGAAAAAAAGAGAAAGAGAGAGAGAGAGAGAGGGAAAGACAGAGAGAAAAGAAAAACAGAGGCTGTTGCTCACAGAAAGAGAAAAAAACTAAGGACGAAACGAGCGAACACTTGTAATTACTCTTAATGTGAACGGTTACTCTCGACCAGTCAGCAACCGAGTTGCTCTTTCTCGCTCTTCTTATTTTTTTCTCTTCTTCCCTTTGGGCGAAGAAAAAAAAAAAGGATTTTCTTCTTTTGCTTATGCGCTCTTGGGCGATTATATGTTTGCGTCTGTGTGTGCGAGAACAAGCAAAAAGACGAGTGTTGGCGGGTATTGTCGACAACGAAGCATGTAGAGAAAGAAAACGTTTGCAGGTTCGAGATTGGACAAGATAAAAAAAAAAGTACTACAGCCAGTGTATGTCGCATGCTGAAAAAGGAGAATAAAACAGACAGAAGAAGAGAGACAGAGAGAGAAAGCGAGAGAAGAAGTCAGCTCAATTCATTGTGATGTCGTACTGGAAAATTTTTCTGCCTGTTCTTTTTTTCCTGTTTTTTTTTTCTACTGTGAAGATCTCTTATGTAAAAAACGGGGTTGGTGGGTGAACGAAAGATTATTATTAACGCTTCGACTCACACTTGTAGTCGAGCGTTTGTGCTTCTGTTAGAATGATGATGAAATGAACTGGCACTTCGACGGAAAAGGGTGGAGAAGAAAGCGGCATTGACGTTGCTATCGGAAGAAGCAAAGTGTGTCACATCCAATCAAAATTTAGACGAAGATTGATTGGTAGACAACGATGTGACGTGAGACGCATCAAAAAAAAACCGATAAGAAAAGAAGGCATTGAGTAGAAAATCTTAAAATATAATTTTCATCTATTACCAAGGAATTTTTCAAAAATTATGTTTATTCTCACATTGAAAACTTACAATATCAATTTTTTTTTTCGGATTTCAAGAATTCCATTGATTTAAGAATTCTTTTCAATATGAACGCAATAAATACTAAACGATGATAATTTTTTTTGATGGATCAAAAGATATTTTATTGTTCATACTAAGGATATTTGTCTGTCAGATACTTGAAAATTTCAATATTTACAATTGAGAATGGAGATGTTCATTAATTATTCAAGTCAACAATTTTTCAAAGACTTACTTTTCTTAGCTTAAAAAATATTTTCAAAATAAAAACTAATGCTCTACATTATTTAATATTAATCATTAGAAAACGAATTCATTACAATTGCTGCTTATCATATTCAATATATTTTCTCGATTTTATGATTTGATTTCAAGGCAATCTGTCTGTAAAAACATAAGAGCTTTTTAATAGTATCATAGAATACTCGTTAATCATGATTTTATGACAAACATAGTTATTGTTATCAAATAAAATCAACAAAAAAATTAATTCAACTTTAAACATATTCATATCTGCTTGTTTTTTCTCAATTATGAATTAGAAAATAATATTAATGAATGTTTAAAACAGAAAAAAGAGCTACATCACATGAAATGAACTTGTTTATATCATTTTCGAACAGTACATTGAGAATTGATTCGGTCCTACGTATAAAAAGCTAACTGGAGCTTTCATAATACTGTTTCGCTATCAATCAAATCAAACAAAAGATGAAATATATGTGTATGTGATGTTTGAAACTAATTCTTTTTTTTTTTTGACATCTATACTTAACAAGAGAGTACTCGTATGACACATATTCTCAAAGCTTTTTTTTCAATTTTTATTTTAGTGTATTTCTTCTCGACAAATTCTTTTCGGTGACGTTTGGTGAAATGCTGATGAATTTTATTGAACATAACTTTTCTTTTTTGCTCCTTCATTCAAAAAAGTCGAGCAATTTCATTTTCTTATGCTTTTTTTTTGACAAACAGCAACTATAACAGCAATAAAAAAAAAGAACTTCTTTCTTCTGTCTTGTCGTGCGACGCCGTTTGTGTTCTCCAGAGAATTTCCACAACCCATCAATCTTTTGCGTAGCATAGTTGGTTTGTTCACTATATATGTGTATGTGCTCAAAAAAAGAAAAAAAGAAGAAGAAAGAAGCAATGGCAAGCGGCATGTTTTTAAAAGGATGCTCTCTCTGTATTCATTTTCTTCATTTGTTCCACATACATACACATACACAAATTCTAGTTGTACAAACTATGTGTTCCAGATCAATAGAAAATTCCGATGAATGCACAACAATATTGAAATTAGTCATTATAAAAGCATAAACATTTTTTTTTTCTTTTCCTCAATTTTCAACAATCCTTGACTACAATCAAGTATCATTCATTCCCACTGACTTTAACTAATTAAGAAAAAGCAAAAACCATCTAATTTTGTCTTTCACTTCACTTCATCATTCAATCGTTTATTGAGTGTTGATCGTTTTTCACACACACTTTGAATTAATGGAATTTAGCACTTACTCTTCTCGCAGCAAGCACTTGCCTCTACTGATCTATTTACACATACTTTGATCTTCTTCAATTTTTCTTTTCTTTATTCACCGTTTGTCGTGCATCGATAAACCATATCATGTTCAAACACATTCATCTATATGTAATCTGTAAGAAAAAGCGAGCAAGTCTCCTATTCTCACATTTATGCATTTCTATTGTATTTCTGTGTGTGTGGTCAAGAAAAATTATTGCTCGGTATGCGTCATAACGTTTTGATGATCTCATCATAAAAAATAAAGTAAAAGACAATCAAATGACCGAGAAGGTGAGCTCAGCCACTTTGCATTCATATCTTTTCATTGTAATTGAGATCAACAAAAAGAGAAGAAAAGGTATGATGATTGATAGTGGACACAGACGACAGATCAGAAATGCTCACAAAACAAGTGAACCTATGATTATTGCCATTCGATTATGCACATACTGCATTCTCCCACATCACACCAAAGTATATAGCGGTATATGCGGTCCACTCAATTGATTATGCATATTTTTTTTTTAATTCATTTGAATTTTCTTTTCACACATCATGCAGATTACAAATCCACTTGATTTTGACCAGTTGTCCACATAAACAGATATTTGTCTGGCTATTATCGATAGTGTGTATGTGTGCCGGTATTTTTTCTTTTTTAAGAAAAAAAGGTGTCAATCAATATAATATAATGTGATGAGAAAGTTAAGTTTGCGTGTGCGGCTAGGATGGACATTATCTTTTCTTTTTTTTTTGTTTGGCTATCTGTCTTAGCTTATACTAATTGTTGAAATACGCAAATGAGCATCGACATGTGCACGCGTGAATACTGGTCAACAGAGTTAGATGCCTTTGATGTGACAAATCTGATTTGGATTAATCGAAACGAATATTTCCCTTTTCTCATGAAAGATAATAAAAGAAAGAATCGATAAATGAATAACATACAATAAGTAAAAGGAAATGAACTGAAATCGACTTAATTTTCCTAGAGTATGCATCAAAATAAACTAATATTTGATTCCCATATGACTTATAAATAATGTTATTTTAACTCAAATAAATTTTATTAATAAGAAATACAAAATATATTTTAAGATGTAAACTATATTTGAATAAACTATAAATGAATTTGAATTAAAATGCAATATAAAAATTGATGAGAAAACGAAAAAAACATTCTACATGTATATGTTATAGTTTCATTTTAGATTTTAAAGAAATAATAAAAGAAAATGAATTATTAGAGAGGTTACAAGTTTTTGAAAGCTTTTTGTCAGCGACTCTGATGCGCTCTAAATTTTGACAGGTACTTGACATTGAAACAAAATTGAATAAGTCTGCACAAACTTCAATACAGCAAATAGTACTCAATACTGGAGGATAGTAGTAGCATAGTACTATTTATTGTATTCATTGTTTCATTGATTTATAAGTATACTTGAATGATGAAGTACTAAACATATTTCTTGTCATGATAGATATGAAAACAAGTGATTGAATACAGATTGTATTGGTAATTTTACGTGAAAGCTAAAACAAAATAGAGATTTTTTGTTTAAATTACTCATAAGAGACTGCGAATTAGTGACTGCTACTAGATTTTACTTTTGTAAGTGTTTTTTTTTTAAAGTAATAATTTTAGGAGAAAACAAGCATCTTGACCAATGGATAAAAAAAAATGTTACGCTTAACTATATCATAAAATGTTCTATTAATGATTGTGTCTATGCTATATCGTTAGTTTTTTTAACTCTTATATTTTCAATACTGATGAAACTTTTCAAAAGAAATCGAAACTATTATTCTTGGATCTGCTTTGTATTTTTCTTGGTCAAGTTTTAATCTATCACTTAGATAGTAATATAGATTGAATATATTGTTTATCAAGTGCATGCAACATAACTTTCAATGAACAACAGTATTGTTAAGATCATTATAATGTTTATTTTTACTATTGAGAATGTGAATATGATTAAAGCAAAGGATATCCAATTTATAGCAAGATAGTTAAAAACGTGCGGAAAGTGCATATTTCTCATAAGAACTGTAACTAGTACGAAACCATTATTTTGTTTTATTTACTTTGGATAAAATGTAATAATTTAAAGAGAAGAATTCTTACAGAAAATTCATAATATTTTTGTGTCGTCTATAGACATGTCTGATGAAGACTTTTGTATACGTATTTTGATATTCAATCCATTTGGCAAAAAGCTATGTTATGTTGTTTTACTGAAAACAGAGGCTGAACCATCAATTTAAAATCCATTTAAAAAATATGATACTCATTTATTTCAAGAATTGAAGATACAGAGTATACTTATGTATGTTTTTGCGCATTCGGAGAAAAGTTTGAATTCAGGAAATTTAAGAAGAACATGTTTTTCTTAGCAAATGGAAGTAAAAAGTTTTCAATACAGTTTCAATAACTTATTTATCACTATAAAGTACTAAAGCATCAGCTCATGTTTTTTCTTCTTAATTGATAGTACATGCAACTTTGGAACTAAAACTATCTATTATGGATATATGTAAAGAGTACGTTTCTTTGAGTTTTGCATGAAGCTATGTAAGTATTTGATAGAAACTTGGAATATTTCCACTTCAATTCTATCAGATCGGCTGACTTTTCTGTTGGTAATAGAGGCCTATTTAATGGTTTTTGTTTGATATAGGAATAACAGAAACAAATACTGCTTTTAAGTATTATTATTGATTTCATAAAGAAAATGTAATTTGTTGTCAAATAAGAAAAATATATCTGACGAGATCCAAAGATAATTTTCAGTTCTCATCTAAGACAATAACAACAGCAAATCGAAACAACTTTCGTTAATAATACTATATTGTTACACAAAGAGTATACTTGTAGAATTAGTTATTTGAAACATTCAAATTGATGTCCAATAACTTCTATGGCATACTTGAGACTTTCGGACATCGATTCATCAACAGTGTTGCAAAAATCAGTGTTCCATGATGAGAAAATTCTTAAACTAATCAGTTCTAAAAGTTTTGTTTCTATGCATCGATATCATATGATTAATACAATTTGCTTTTGATATTGTCTTAGATGAAAACTGAAAATATTCTACAGATTTCTTTATACGTATTTTTCTTCTTTGACAATTGATTACATAGCTTTTGTCAATTCAATATGGATACTTAAAAACAGTATTTGTTTATATCATTCTTATTTGAAACAAGCTCTCCCTAGATCTATATTACCAAAGATAAAATCAGCCGATCTAATAAAACTATAGTGAAAATATTTTAACATTTTATCGTATATGTACTTTGGCTCAGCCTGTAGAAATCAAAAGAATAAAACGGCTCTTTTGTTTTTATTTTCATAGTAGAGGAAATATTTATGCAGAATTTGATACTTGGGAAAAGTTTCATGTCACTGGCAAACTGTGCATCTCTTCTGATCAGAAATATTATTTATATGATATTCCAGATTCAAATGATGATTTTTCATTGATTTCTATGAAATATATTGCACTTTCGAAAGTTTTAACATCTCGACTTATTATTGTTACAGTAAAAGTTAAAGAGATAATCAAAATTTTTCATCTTCTCAATGAAATCAATCTTAAAAACAATATTATTATCAATCAAAGACCCAAGACATTTGGAGCTTATTGCTTCGATTAAGAAAGCAATGATTTTTTTTTGCATGAAACATCAAATAATCGTAGAACATAGAATTGATAATCATTCCTATGCGTTTCAGTTTCATCGATCATAGTTTTGTCTTAGTTTTGCACTCAACCAAATACGATCTCTTGTGACTTTTAGAATTGAAATAGTTACTATTTATCGAAAAAGTATTTAAATTATTTGATACTCAATCGATATACCATTTGATGAAGAATTCAATTCTCCACATCAATGTGCGAATGTTTTTGAATCAAAATTAAAAATTGATTACAAAGATAAGTATATCATCACTCTAAAATTATTTCTAGCTTATGTTGATAGTGTTTACTAACATTTTTCATCAGTAGATGCAGTTAATGAAACTTTTCTTCTAGAATCAATGACAATCAACAATAATTACAAAAGTACTGAAATAAAGATTGGTAAACAAATCTCTTCGTGTGTGTGTGTTACCAAGGTGATCTCATTGTTAATATATAATACCATCTATGACAGCTAATATTTTGTGTTTATGACATTGATTACTTTATCTAGAATTCGATAGCTTTGCTAAGTCATATTTGGATAAGAAACGCTAAATTAAATTAATACTAAGACTAACATAGATAGTATACAATTGAGTTTTCTCGAGTATTATGTCGTATATCTGTGAATAATAGTCACGTTTAAGTTTAAATTGATGTGGTGACTATATTTAATGATATCAGATTTGTTATTAATGTTTAATAATGATGACTTATAGTTTTGATCACCTTAGTTAATACTAATGTCGATTCAAAGATAACAAGGACTTCTTTTCTTTCGTTAGAGTGGAAATTAGCATCGTTATTGTCATCATTCTGTCTAAAAATTTATTTTGTTTTTATGTTATAATAAACATCTGCAAAAAATAAAAAAAAATAATAACCATTTTGATTACAAACATAGAACAAGAAATTTCATGTTTAAAAAACATTATCGGAATTAAGTAATTTCTAAATTCATTTAGCATCTAATCGACTTTCACGTTCCATTATTGATTGTGCAAAAGTAATTACATAAGTTGTACCACGAGGTCCTTGATGTGTAAGTACTTTACATTTCTATATTTCAAAAAAAAAAATATACATTATTATTTGTTAGAATAGTTTCGATTCAATACTACATACAAAACCACTATTACATAAAACACCTTCAACGATACCAGCGACAAATGAAGCACAGTTTAAAGAGCCTGAACAAACAGAACATTTATTATTTTCAATTTTCACTTATTAATCATTCTTATATACCTTTATCCTTAGGAACAGAAATAAATTTATTAATAAGACATTCACGTTCAATTATATAATCTGAATAAAAATTTACTAGATATCTCATAAATATAGAAAATTTTTAAAACGTACAAACATTAGGTTCTTGTGCATGTTGTTCAAGATGATCAGCTTCACGATTGAATAAAAACTACATAATAATAATTAATTTCAAATGATTTTTCATATTATATTACACATTATATTTACTTTCCAAAATGATTTTTGAATAAATACAAGCATTGAAGTAAGACGTACTTCACGTTTATCTTTTCCAACACGTAAAAAAAATAAATCAAGTATTCGAATACCAACATGATTGCCCAAATCAGCTAGTCTATGTTATTCATATTATATTTGAATTTTACTAGCAAAAAACAAAAACAAGTTACTTAGTTTGAAGATCATATATATTATCAACACGATTTTGTGAATATTGGACCATTTCAGAAAATACTAAAGCAAATGTACTCAAATTGACCTTAACAAGAGAAGAAGACTTTCTTATCAATAATTTTTTGTTTTACATATATAATTTACATCTCCTCTTGTTTTTTGTAAAGATCGATCCAGAGCCGATGATTTTAAAAGTGTAGATGTCTGCATGGTAACTTTATTATTATCTAATTGAATATCAAACTATAAATAGAATAGGAAAAAAATCTAGATACTAATGCGTTAATTGATTAATTTTTATCGTCAGCACTCATCAATGTTTGTCTATCGTATGGAATCAAGCCAGCATTTTTATCAAACATAAACATGTTGTGCTGGTAGATTTTAACAGCAAATCATGAAAGACTATATGTGACAGAGGTCAGTATAAATCAGATTTTCATCGAAATAGAATAAGACTTCATTGTTTTTTTGAATACTCATGTAGAAAAATTTGACGAAGATCGTATAAGGTCTTAGTAACAACTGGATGTCCTATGAATCATACTATGTGATTTTACAAAATCGTACTAATATTTTACTGTAGATTTAATATTTATCGGACTATCAAATACTACTATGAATCCCTTGCATGATTGTTACTTTAGGATCATACTTTTAGATATTCCACTTATACAATTAGTTTTGATATGAATAGCTTTGTGCATTTAAATAAATATTCAAGTGATTAGATATATTCTAATTTAAACACTACTATTTTATCGTTGAAAATATCTCTTTGATGTAGTAGTACGGATCTGTTAAAAATTCACCCTATAGATCATTTAATGGATTTAATTAAATAGAAACAGGTTCTCTTTCGTGTAAATTGTTAGTTCTAATTCATTTTGATGATAAATTCGATGAAAGAAATTTTTTTATTCTGAATTATTTTATTTTAGATGATTTTAACAATTAAATAAATAAGTTTTTTTCTATGTTTTAAGCAGATATTTGTATTCTCATTTACTTTTTGTAATATTTAGAATTAAATCTATACATGCAAGTAAAGATAAAACACTTAACGACAACAAGATGATAGCTGCCAAAAATAAAAGAAAATTAAATACGTAACATTGTGGAAAACGTTGAAAAATCATGCTCTAATCGTATGATATTTAATATTAAGATCATAGAAGAATCGTAGAGTACAAATTTAAGAAAAAAAGTGGCTTTAAGATTGGAATATAAAACCATATATGATTTTCTTATGATCTTGTAAGAACCATAGAAGATTTTATAATAGGAGTGTTTGATCTTAGGAAACTTTCTTGTCCTTATGTACATTCAGAAAATAAAAAACAAATAAAAATCATTTCAACGGTTCACAATTTTAAAAAAATCTAATATACTGGACGTAAGACTTAAGCAAGTATTTATTCGTTATCACATATTGTAGTTATGGTTGTTATAAATTTTAATATGCGAAAGCGTGTAAACTTCAATAGGCATTTCAGTTTCTTGATCAATTGTTGTCGAGCGAAGATTTGATTTACATATTGAACTTTAAGGAGAAAAAGAGCATGATTTCTTTTACTCTGTTCTTTTAATAATTACTGAGCATTATGATCGTTTGATTTTCTTATTGAATTTTTATATAATTCTAACGGATATGAACGATTTGCAGATGTTCGATCAAATTTTAATGCGAACGATGTAATATGACGTTGCTGTCGTTCATAAATAAATAAATCGTATCATTCAGGCGGTAAAAGTTCAATAATTTCTTCATAAAATGACATATGTACTTTATGTTTTGATGACAATTGTGCATTGAACGATTGTAGACGATACAGAACGACAAATACTTATGGTATTTCTTGAAATATATCAATAAGATCATTGACAAAAAAGGTGTAGTTTCTTTTGAAAATGATTTGAAATGAAGTAATTTTCATTACGATTTCATATCGTCTGATTCTAAATTAATGATGATTGTTGTTGTTGATAAAATATCGATAATTTAAATGATTTCCATTGATTAAAAATAAATTTTGCTAAATGATTTCTATAAAGCGTAGTTGTTGAAAAATTTGTTACAATCGAATCATTATCATGAATTCATTTATTATAATCATCTGTAATTTTATTTAACATCATAAGGAAAAAAAATTAGTTAGATCTTTATTCAGTAAATGTAATGGAACAACTTCTTTCATACGAAATAATAATTAATTTTATAATTATAATATATATAATATTAACAATAGTAAGTAATAAACTATAACAAGCTAATACAACTGCTTCAGGTGCAAGATTGCATGCATAAAGTAGTTGATAATCATTAGTAAATATTTACTACAGTTGAGATTCAAATAATATTCTTTCTTAGTATTGTTGAACAGTAGCAACAATTGAAAATGAAATACTAAGTAACGCATAAGCAAAAACAATGAAGTCCACATTTTACAGCTGAGAAAAGAAGAGAATCTAGAATATGATTATAGAGTAATGAAAAAATTTCAATTAATACAAAAAAAAATCATACAAACTTGCAATAGTAACACCAACAAGTGAATTTAATTACGCAAAAAAAAAACAATTTTTTCTTAGAATAAAAGGATTAAAGATTTTTACCAGTATTTATATCGAGACAAAAAGTGCGACAGCAGTTTCACTAGGTAAAACAATAAGACACCATTCCTTTATCCAAAAACAGTTTCTTTTGTATAATCAAATTATCGAAAACCATTTGCACATATTATCAACTGTCAAAATCTATCATTCAAGGTTTCACAAATTTATATGATTCAGTTATGACAATGAATGCAACAGTGTTTATATCAGTAATAAATTAATATGTATCTTTGTTTTCATCATTAGATAGTAGAATCTTACTGGACGACCTTGCATTCTTCTATATGATTTTGTTGCTTCTACAGATTAGTACTGAATTCAACTCTATCGTTTCTTATCAGATAAACTTCTTGGTAAGATTAGTACCTACAGGATGATTCACCCATTTTTACTAGTTTTTCTTCAATTTGCTGTATCTCTACAAGACTTCAGAAGTTCTTGATTTCTATATGATTAGATAGAGCATTGATTACTCTGGCCAATCGTATAGTTTTCTTTTGATTTATTTCATATCTTGATGAAAAAATCAGAAGATTCCTAGAACTAGTTTAACAAAACTTTTGCACAGACCTATTTCACTTGGGCTCAATCTAATTCACATGAAAATAGTTTTAATTCGGAGAGATACATGAAACTTAAAATTTTGAAAAAGTACTGATTTAAAATGTTTTGAATTTGAGGAGAAAATTCAATTTCACTTCTGAAGTTTGGACACTTGTAGCATTAGATTTTCAATACTTTTTGCACTACCTCGAATTGGCCTATAAGGCCTTGTAACTAAATCAGGTCAAAATTGTATGAATTAATAGAAAAGTTTTTGCTCTATATAACTGTATCTTAATAGAGATGATTAAAATAGCTGGGCGACTAACATAAGCACTTGGTAAAACTAACTAATCGAATTTTTACTAAAAACATTTGTCAGAAATTCACTCGAATTTCAGCGAAATAGATCGGGTGAAAATGAATAGTTTGATAGATAAGTGAATTTTCTATCTAGCTGTATCAAAACAAAAGATAATCATTCGTCCAATGGGTTGTATATTGCTCAAATTATTCAAAGAAAAAAATCTTTAATATTTCACAGAAAGAAGTTTTTTTTCACTTGCTTCTCAGTATTTATTCATTTTGGTCATAAAAGTATAATACAAATCAAAAGAAAACTATACAAATGGATAGAGTAATCAATGCTCTCTCAAACCATGTAGAAATTTAAAATAATTCTGAACTCTTGCAAAGATACAGTAAAACGAAGAAAACTAGTAAAAATAAGTGAATCATCCTGCATATACAGTGATTTGCAAAAAGAATTGGAACAATCTTACAACAGTAACATTTTATTTTTTCCAGCTTCTTCCGAGCTATTTTTGTGCAGTTACTGTAGGTTTATACTAAGTAGATGCTCTACTAAAAATATTCATATATTTGGTGAATTTCTGTTTTATCATTGTGTAATAATAACCTGACATAGAAAAGACAGACAGTTTAAAATCACATCATAAATCTGTATTACATTGTTGGAACACCGGAATTCGTTCTAACATTAAAATCTACTGATATACAAAGAAAACACTGTCTATAATTAGTTATCAATTTTGAAAGCTCAAAACTCAAGGTTTTCTAGAATATCGAGCAGCTAATGGTCCAAAATGTGCGATTGACGCCCAATATAGTAGAGATGTCCAGCGCGGCTGAAAATCTGCCGCTGCCGCGCCGCGGCCTTAGAAAAAAAAAGCTGCCGCACCGCAGTCGCGCCGCGACGATTTATAAAAAAATGTTGCCGCGGCGCTGCCGCGCCGCGATGGCTTATAAAAAAAACGTTGCCGCGATGAATTATAAAATAAACGTGCCGCAGCGGTTTACAAAAAAGTGTTTCTAATTTCACTGCTGCGACTATATTTGACCAGAGATATTGGTACTAGTCCATCAGATTCATTCAGTCTCGGGGTGTTTCATTTGTAAACCCTGAAATTCTATTAAATTCATGCAGTTTTTCAATGTTCCCTAAAAAAATCCTGCCGCTGCCGCGATGATTTTTAAAAAATCTACCGCTACCGCGCCGCTGCCGCGGTGATTTTTTAAAAAACCTGCCGCTGCCGCTGCCGCCACAGGCCATCGCGGCAGCGCCGCGATGGACATCTCTGCAATATAGTCGAATATTAGGTCAATTTATTGGACGAAAGAATGAAGTCAGACTGAAAGAACTGGCTAAAAAATGGCATAAACAATATGAATAAACTGTTTCCATCAGCCCAAACTCATGCTATTTGAATCGTCTTGAAAATGAATATTGAAAAAAGCTATAATCAATTTTGAATAGTAGCAAAAATGGCAGATATCTCTTGATTATTTATTTAAAAGTAGAATGAATTGAAGATTGGGTTAGATATTCTGAGACTGAAAACTGATATGCATTAAATATAGAAACAGTTTTTTGAAAACAGTTAAGCTAGTCTTTAATACAGGCTAAAGATTTGTTCCAAGTCTTTTTGCAAACCACTGTATATTGTATCTTTATTTAGTTATCTTACTTTCTTTGTTATATAAGGCCTTATAAATCATAGTACAGAATAAAGAAAAAAAAAAGGAAGAAAAAAGTAAATTAAATATGAAATTAAATAAATCTGTCTTTATTATGGTTTTTTCAATTGTTTCTTTCGTAAATCTTGATCCATCATTTGTAATAAAATTGTTGAATTATCCGAATTACGCTCAATGCGTTTGAGTAAATCATGCATATATTTTACTGCTGTTGTTTGTTCTTCAAGCATTACTTGTTCAATAAAATGAACAGTTGGATAATCTTTTTCATTATTTGCTGCTAAACGTACTTCAATAAGATTATCATATACTTGCCGTTCCATTTGTTCAGCTGTTTGTATCATTTTTGTAAGATCTTCCATTGATGCTATTCTATCTTCTATTGCAATATCATAGAAAAGTAATTCTCGATTACGTACATTATAAAAATCGAGTAGTTTTTTTCCATGATCACGTTCTTCTTCAGCTGAATCAAAAAAATATTTCGCAAAGCCCTGATAAACACCACGTGTAGCTAAACGATGAGCAAATGTTAAATATGTATTTGAGGCAAGAAATTCTTTTTGCACTTGATTTTCATATAGATATTTTAAGCCATTACCAAATATTAATGGTGAAAAAAATAGAATAATGAAAGTGCTGGTAAACACATATGATGACACCATGTTAACAGAAAAGGATAGTTATGTAAAATGAAATATGTTAAAAAAAAATGAAGAGAGTATAGATATCTCTTATCTTATTTTGCTTTTTGTCAGGAGATCTTTTTATCCAAAGTGCAGCTGACTTACGCAATCATATGATATTTATGAAGAAAAAAAAACTAAACCAAATGATTTATTATTTCAAAAACAAAAAGAAAAAAAAGAAAGAAAGATAAAACATTGGTTATCTATGACATAGTAACTAAATCATCATAAGATCCTAATTGTTCATATGTAAGTTCATATTTTGACATGTCATTTAAACCACAATCATCAATAACAATATATTTCTTTGGAATACTTGTTCCTTTGAATGTGTCCATTTCGCCTAATTCATATACGAAATCCTTAAAAAAAAATACAATAAATGTATATATTATAAATGATAATATTCATAGATAAAATAAATTGATTTTTCTTTTACCATTCCTGAAATAACACGTCCAAAAACTACATGATGACCATCAAGCCATCGAGCAGGTACAAGTGTTATAAACCATTGTGATCCATTTGTATCTTTTCCATAATTTGCCATTGATACCCAACCAGGTGAACGATGACTTAAAATAAAATTTTCATCAATAAACTTATCACCATAAATACTTTTGCCTATTAAAATAAGATATATTTATATTAACAAGAGAGTCAACAATGAAAATGTATTTCATTTACCTCCACTACCATCACCATTTGTAAAATCACCAGTTTGAATAACAAAATCACGAACAATACGATGAATTGGCGTACCTTTATAAGTGTATTTACTCTAAATAGTTAATTCACATACAAAAATATCATCTTGATATATTATTTTCAATATTTACTTTTCCTCGTCGAAGACCTTTAGTAATTGTAATAAAATTAGTAACAGTCATTGGACAAATTTCACCGAATAAACCAATAACAATTCGGTGTGATTTAATCGTTGAAGATGATATTTTGTTTTCTCTCACTGATATATTAAACCATGCTTCATGTGTTACATAAAATTTTTCAGGTAAATCATCATTGAGGGCATAGTCTCCACCATGTGCTTCAATAATAGTAATTTGTTGAACAGATAAAAATATAAGCAAAGCAAATATCATTAACATTTTAATGAATTGTTGTTACTAATGCAGAAACTAAACTCTATATCAAATAGATACATTACTGTAAAGTAAAAACGAACACGTTACTTACTTTATATTATCGAACGAATGTGTAAAGTACAAATGCTCGACTAGAACTAATTTATACTCTTTGAAATAATTGGCGACGTGGCAGTTACCAAGATGATACCACCCTACTATCCTCAAGAGTCTATACTTAAGTCTAAAGTATCGACCTTCAGTTGAAATGAAATGCCAACATGGCAATATAATATTTTATATTTCATTCAGAAACAAAGATCGACGGAATTCAATATGACTCTCAAGTTTAACCTCGATCAAACATGATTCTATTTTATTTTACTTGGTGTAATTTTGTAGTGTTATTACTTATCTTTTATTCTTCTTTTTATATGTTTCCTATATATTTTTTTTTTATCTCATTCATTTCATTTGATATAATTTAACAGGCAAACTTCTCAAATGATAACGCTAATATGCGTCTTAATAGATATAAATGATGACACTATCGTTCGAGATCATCGTTTCCCAAATATTCGATCTCACAAAAAAAGTATCATCATTTGTTAAATAAACATACATGCACTGTATGAACAAAGGGAGAAAATATGCGAAGTAGGACAAAAAAAAAAGACAATAATAGAACGAGAGAAACATTGAAATAAACAATAAAAATGAATTTTCAAATCATTAGAAGACCGATGGCCGTTACTGTCGGCAAAAAGAAAAAAAAGCGAGCGAATAAACGCCGGTCCGTTCAAATGTATGTATATGAAATGAAACGAACATAACATTAAACAATCAAACAGAGAGCGAAAAAAAAATAACAGTTTTCTGTCAAAAAAAAAAGAGAGACATCATGTATGTAGTAAATGATTGTTGATGAATGAGATTGCGCGTCATTAAAAAAAAAAAAGGAAAAGAATGTTGATCATTTAGTTTTTAGTTATTTTCTTTCATGACGTACTGTCCCACCAACTATGATCTGCTTGACGATTACCACTACCACCCGTAGCTTGTTGTTGAAAACGATCATAACCAGCAGCACCACCTGATTGATGATCACCAGCCCACATATTTCCACCGGCACCACTATTAGATCCATCCCATTGTTGTTGATGATTACTATATCCACTCGTTGAACTACCCGCTCGATTATGACTACTACCACCTCGATTACTACGTAATTGTGCTGGATTACGATAATCACGAGCACCAAAACCACCAGCTCTAAAAAAAAGAAAATATAATAGAATATTTATATGAACCAAGATTTATCAAGTTATTTACGCACCGTCGACCACCACCGTAATTTCGTCTGGAATAATTATCTTTTTTAGTTTCTCTTGCTATACCTTCGAGCCATTCTGGTACTTCTTGATGGGATTCACTTAAGATATCGAGTAAATCTGTAGCAATATTACGATTTTTCTCATTAAAAAAAGATGTTGCTTGACCTAAAAAGAAAAATAAATAAGTATGAACAACAAGTTTTCATAAAACGATATCAATTTCTTCTTACCTGCCATCCCAGCACGACCTGTTCGACCAATACGATGAACGTATTCATCAATATCGGATGGTAAATCAAAATTGATGACATGTTTCACATTTCTATGATAAATCAAAAGGTAATGGAATTATAAAATATATAGAATCAAAACTAAGTCTTAACAAACACGAAACAAACAATTATAAATAATAATTCTTTTTTTCATGTTTTAACTCAGCTAATGATGAGTCCAATTATAAATTTGTTGAACAATCATATTAAAATCTATATAGGAAATCAGCAAGTCAAATATTAATTCAATTAAAATATAATTTAATAGACAGTAATATTGCATCCAAGAGAACTTACAATCTTGTCACAATCACTGACTATATCACGAGAATCATTCGAACTGAAAGGATAAACTGTCATCCAAATTCTGACACGATACATTCTAGAATAGATTTCTATTATTATGTTTTCCGATCTTTATCAGTTTACTAATTAATTTATTGAAGTGTCTCTCTTTAATTTATATGATATTGCCAAATTGTGAAAACGATTTATTATATTGTTGTAAAGATTGATAGAATATAAATTGTTTCAGAGAATTCATAGTGAAGATACTTACGGAATATCAAGACCACGAGCAGCTACACTTGTCGCTACAAGAACAGGTGTTCGACCGCTTTTAAATGATCTCAGTGCTTCTTCACGTTGAGCTTGTGATCGATCACCGTGAATACTGTTCACTGAATACTGATGATTAAATAGAAAATCTTCAAGCACATCAGCTCCTCGTTTTGTCTCAACAAATACCAATGTTAATGTTTCTAAACATACGATCAAATGATTAAATCAATAGAATAGAAATTTATCTTTATTACCAGATTGAATATTTAATAAATCAAGTAAAAATGAACGTTTTTCAGCTTCTTCTACCCATACAATTTTTTGTGTTATATTTTGTGATGTTGAACCTACACGACCAATAGCCAAAAATACGTAGTCATGAAGAAAATCTCGTGCTAATTCCTAATTTACAAATCATATTTATATTTAACAAAAAATATATAGATAAAAAAAAAAGACATTAACAAACCTGAATTTGTTTTGGAAAAGTAGCTGAAAACATCAGCGTTATTCGTTGACCCATAGCCGGCATATCTGACCGTTCAACGATCTCACGAATTTGAGGCTAAAGAAAATCAATTCATTATTCAATAATATACATATATTTCTTAATCTTCTTACTTCAAAGCCCATGTCCAGCTACAAAAAAAAAAATAAAATAAATAAACATGATTGATTACGAAGAACAAAAAAAAAGGGGAAAAAAGTTTCCACCTACCATGCGATCAGCTTCGTCGAGTACCAAATATCTTCAAATATGGAGCAAAAAAACAACAAGCTTAAGAATAGAAGACAAAGCAATAAAATAAATCATACCGAACATTGGCCAATCCTACACGACCCCGTTGTATTAAATCATTAAGACGACCTGGTGTAGCTACTAACATATGAGCACCTTTTTCCAAATCACGTGCTTGAAAGCCAATATCAGCTCCACCATAGACGACACACGAACGAACCATAGATCGATAGGAAAACTAAACAAAACAATCAAACATGTCTATTTCATTTTATATCAAAAAAAAAACAAAATTTACCTTTCGTGCTTCATCATAAATTTGTGAGGCTAATTCACGTGTCGGTGCCAAAATAAGACAAAGTGGATACTGTTTACGATTATTTTGTAAATTACTTGGAGGATTACGCACAGGTCCTTCTTGGAAAATCATATGCAATATAGGAAGAAGAAATGCAGCCGTTTTGCCTGAGCCTAAACCAAAATTTTTTTTACTATTAATATATATATATACAGGGTGTCCGGAAAATCCTCTACCAAAATGTTTTTTCATATATCTTAGCTGTTTCATTGAATATTATTAATAATTCTTTTTTTAAATTGTAGGCGAATATACCAAGTTTTTATTTATACAATCAACTTTTGATACTATTCTACAAAACTATTACGTTTGCTCGAAATACAAAAATTTTCCTATTTTTATGAGATGCAAGTAATTCAAAATTTGATGATAATTTTTTTCTTTGACATTTTCATGTGGTTAGATAGAGCTTATGAAGTTCTACAAGAATATGTGTATATTGAAAACTTTTTATACCTTCTCTTTGTAGCGAAATTTATAGAGAACTACTAAAGAAAGACTAAATAATTAAAAACAAAGATACTGCATAATGTTCTACTCGCATCTCATAAAAATAGGAAAATTTTTGTATTTCGAGCAAAGGTAATAATTTTGCAGAATAGCATCGAAAGTCGCTCGTATGAATAAAAAATTGGTATATTCGGCTTATAATTTAAAAAGAAAATTATTGATAATATTCAATGAAACAGCTAAGATATATGAAAAAACATTTTGGTAGATGATTTTCCGGACACCTTGTATATATATATATATACATATAGGATTATTTAATTATAAGTTATCCTTGATTCTATTCATTTAATTTTAAAAAAACAGTATGTATAGTAACTATATACAAAAAAACAAAATTCTTTCAAATACAATGATTTCGTATATCTTACCAGTTTGAGCACAGGCCATTAGATCACGTCGAAGTAAAATAGTTGGTATAGCATAACGTTGTACAGGTGTTGGTGTACCATAATTAGCTAAACTAACATTATTTTTAATAATTTCACCAAAATTACAATCATCAAACTATTTATCAAAACAAAACAAAAAATAGTCAGAAAATTGAAAATAGTTAACAAAAGAAATCAAACTGTATCAATCGGTGAATGATCCATATGCGAAGATTCAACAGGAATATCATTGTAAAGTTCAAAATTAATACCAGTAGGATGTACACCAAATAATTCTCTATAGATAATATTCATATGTATGAAAACTTATTGAATTATAGTTATAAATCATTACCTTTCAAGATTAGCATTTGGTGGTAAAGGTGTATTCCAATCAGCACCGGTTGTATCACCTGATTGACCACCAACATGTGAATGAAATGGTTTATGAGGAACACGATCACGTCGACCATAATTATTATCACGTTGTCCTCCATAATTACTACTATTATTATTATCTCGACTATTTCGATTTTTATAATTACCCGAAAAACCACTAGTACTACGTTGATAAGAATTGTTACCACTATTATTAGTATAATATGACATTTGTCTTTCAGCTAATATAGCATCCCATCGACCACCTGTTTGTTGTTGTTGGGATGATGGTTGATTAACAACACCGGTTGGATCTTGACGATTATATGTTTGTTGAAGTTGTGGTATATCATTGAATCTAATTTAATTATATATATATATATATCGATATGATCAATAGAATAGAAATCTTACGATCGATTTTGCATTTGTATTTGATGTTGAAGAGGTTGACCATAACCTCTTGTATCAAGTGATTGTGAAGGATTCATTGAACGTGGTATTTGTCCCATTTGTTGATAAGCATTTGACATAGGTTGATGATACATTTGTGTTTGTTGAGGTGTCATTTGTGGTGGTGGTTGACCATAGTATGATTGTTGTGGAGGAGGAGGATGAGGATGATGAAGAGTATTGCCACCACCATAATTATTGCCATAATTTTGTTGTGGAGGTGGTGGACCAACATTAACTGATCCTCGATAACCACCTGATATATTGCCATTGTTGCCATAATTACCACTAAGAAAACAATAACAAGATTGTTAATAAAAATAAATTTTAATAAATATTGTACTTTGGTATATTCATTCGATTTTGCATATGGGGAGGTCGATAGACTTGTGTAGAAGAAGATTGTTGTTGTTGTTGTTGTTTGGGAGGAGGAGCTCCTCCACGACCATAACCACCAACATAAGTATTATCATTATTACCTTGTTCACTATTATTATTCTGGAATCTTGAGTTTTCATATGAACCACTGAGTGATTGTTGTTGTGACGATTTTGTATCTTGACTAAATTAAAACAAAAATTCAATTGAATAAGAAGGATTGTTTTTTGTTTTTAAACTTAGAAATGAACGCTTACTCATTTATCATCGTATATTATTGCTTGTTTTTTTTTCTGTGATTCTGTTTATAGTGAGGGGGTGTTATTGATGTTAAAAAAAAAAATTTTTTGTTTTTCTAAAACTTCAAAAAAGAATGATGAAATAATCATCCAAAGAAATGCACTGAAATCTGAACTAAGATTAATATAAATTTCAAAGAAATTAATTAAAATATACAATCGTATTATAGATATCTGATGATTGTCATTTAAACTTATACAATACTGTCCTAACTAACATTTCCTCTCTTTTCAAACCTCATTTGTTTGTTTATTCTCTGTTTTTCTTCTTGCTTTTTCTCTCTCTCTCCCTCTCTCTCTCTCATCATCTCATCATCTTTGTCATCTGCCAATGTAACAGAGAATTTTTAAAAAATAAAAACTATCGAACTACTTGAATTTTATAAAAATATTAACCAATTATTACACGTTGATATGATTCCTTAAAAAAAAATAAAATAATAAGAATAAAAAAAAAAAAAAAAAATAGAAAAACAATATAAGATAGAGGACGCTACAAATCGAACATAACAATAGTTTTATTATACATTCTATTTGTCATTATTACCAATTCATTATTTTATTTGATTAGATGAATATCTGATCAAAGATAAAACGCTATAAAAATCAATTAAGATACTCACGTGATTATCAGATTAATCATGAAATTGAATATTAATTTCTGTTTGTGGTTGATTTAGTTATGACGTTAATTAATTTTATTTATGATTTTTTTTTTGTTTTTCATTCACCGGTAGCATTCGACAAAAAAAAAATAAGAAGCTTCTGACTATCCAAATACAAAGAAAGCAACGACAAACATAAAAGAAAAAAAAATATATATTGCAAAAGATAGATAAAGATCTATGCATACAACAGAAAGAAAAATATTTTAGAGAAAAATTTTACTGTATTCAAAAAAAAAAAGTTCAGATCTATATAAAATAAGAAATATCTAGATTTAAAATAAATGTTTAAAAAAAAAAAAAGAAGCAACTAATTTCAAGTTTGTAGAATAAATATTTCATTCATTTTTGATTAGAATCATTGTTTGGAAGTAAAAGTTGTTGTTCACAATCACTTGTAATTGTTTCATTCTGATCCGGATGATGTGCTTCATCAAAGAATGAGGGTCTTATCATTGAATTTGAAGGGGAAGAAACATTATTTATATCTTCAACATTGTTTGTTGTTGTTGCTCCTTTTTGAGATTGTGTTGAAGAATTTAGTGGAAATATATCTTTAACATGAGTAATAGTTCGAGTTGTTGATTCAATAACACCAAATGTACTTTCATTTGATGTTATACCAGATCGAGTAAGAGGAATGAGAAATTTGACATTTTTTGGTGCTGAAACAATTGATACACCTTCATTAGGAGCAGTATTTGTTTCATCAATAGAACTTCTCTTTGGATTTTGTGACATTAAACGGTTAAGTGCAGCACTAAGTACACTATTTTCAGTATAAAGTTGATATTCATTAAAAGATTCATTGCTTGAAAGATTTTGATTACGATTAGTATTAATTATTGATGAAGATTGTGTTTGAAAGTTAAAACGATGCCGTCTAAAAAACAAAAAAAAAATTAAACGATAATCTTAAAAAATTTCTATATGAATAGTAAATATTACCGTTCTTCTTCACGTTTAGTTTCAATCCAATTATTAAATAGTACCCAATCACCAAATGTCATTGAAAGAATCTTTTGAAAAGAAATATGATTAATATATTAATAAATTTATTTGACATTTATACTTGTTTAAGTTCACTAAGTTCACATGTTGCTAATACTCGACCACTTATATTATATTCATTAATATCGTGAATATAGATTGGTATCATAGCTGTTTTCAAACCAACAATATCATTCTTTAGACAATCACATATATCATTCACTGACATTTGACTTAATGATGGTGATAAATCTACCTATTATTTTGAATGAAAATAAAAAAAATATATGTATATAATGTATTTTATTGAAGAAAACACAATGTTTACTTTGACATTTCCAGAAGGACCAGTTGATGAAGAAATTTTTTGATTAATCAATGGTGGCATAACAACTGCTGATGTGGATGAAACAGATGATGTTCGATTATGGCTATCTTCATCGTCAGCTCGTTTTTTCATTGGTATGCGATTATATAAATGATGAGGGGGAAAATCAAATGAAAGACGATATTGATTTCCTAGAGAAAAAGTAAACGAAATAGATAAATTAATTTTTAAAAATTATCTCTCACTACCAATATAATCTGGCCCACCAACACTGAATCTTGAATGAAATGCATTTTTATGTCGTGATGTAGGTTCTTGCTGCAAGAAGCCACCACGTTCAAGAAGCCTAGAACAACAAAAAAAGACAAATATTCTAACATTTATACTATGAGAAAGTTGACTATTAAGAAAAGAAATACAGGCACAAAACAAAGCCTGTACATGCAATGCATATAATAGTCTCAAAGTTCTAGAATTTTACCATTTAATACAGTGACAATAATAAAAATCTCTGAATACAAAAAATCATATGATTTATCTACTGTTGAAGATTTCTTTTTCTTTTTCTCTTTTACATACTTGGAATCACGATGAACACAGAAATTCGATGCATCTCCATTAATGAAACCATTCTCATCAGAATTATTCATATAAAAGTAAGCTGCTGATTCTATTGAGACAACAAAAAAAAAATTCTTTATAAAATTTTTATTATTTAAATAAAAAGAAAATAATTTACCTCGAATAAGTTTATTTAAATATGGATCTAGATTACATGTACATAGAAGAAATTGTTTTAAATCATTGACATTTAAAACAGGTTCACCACGTTCTATACAAAGTTCAAATTTACGTCCATTACGATCAAGTTGTAAAAGAGGATCTTTTGATGTTGGAATAAATGGTTTAATTCTAAAAAAAATATTAATTAAAATAAAATCATCTATCATAGTTATTGATACATACTTATCATATAGAGTTTTCAATGAAGTATCATCTGAATATTCTTGTTCATGATCTTCATAATAGACAACAATCCATGATATACGATATGGCCATTGTTCTACTAAATATGACCAACATCCGAGACGTTTCCAACTAAATACAACTTGATTAGCACGAAGTAAACGACCGATCATAGCAATTATGTTAATAAGACGTTGTAGAATTCGTGGATTAATATCAAGAAAATAATCAGATTGTAATAATTGATTAGTTAATTCTGATGTTGTTACCTAATATTAAAGAAACAAAAAAAAAAAAAGAAATAAGATGAAAATAAATATATATATATGTTAAACAAACTGGTTTCGTATTAGGTAGTGTATCTCGCCGTTGTCGTCGTCGTTTATTCTTTGGAAGTTTATTAGTTGTTACTGGCTTTGCGCTCACATCAAGAACTGATGCACCATTAGTAAGAGTCTAAAAACAAATTCTTTTAGCTATTATATTCAAAAAAAAACAAAAAACAAAAAATATTAATTAACATTTGCTCTTTTTTTTGGAAAAACATCAGAATTTTTTTTTAATTGTTTTGTTTTACTCATATTTAATTGTAAATAGATAGGAAGTTGAATAATCGAACGTAAATAATCATGACCATTAACACTAGTATCAAAACCTTGATTGTGACTGATTGTTGTCGATAAATCTTGCATCATTTTATGTGGATCACAAACAATCAATGTAATAAATGGATCATTTTCTTTTGTTAAAAGTACATGTACTTGCTAAAAAGACAAAACAAAAAAAAACAATAAGACAATCTTATTAGATTATTTGATTTACATCAAGTATTTGAAGAATACGTTGTTGTTCGCATACATCTAAACCATCAATAAGAACAACAAGACGAGTATTAATATTAAGAAAAGCTTCAACAGATTTGATGATATACGATAATTGGCTAACCTGAAACAAAAATGTTTGATTCTTAGAACATTCATAAGAAATGATTTACTTCTTTTTTAAGTCGATAAAGTGAACTTTCATTAAGACGTGATGAATGATCAGAAAGTTTTATTATTTTTGATTTAGGTGATTTCATTAATCCCATTAATAATCGTAGACATGTACCACAACTAAGTAATACTGAACCACCTAATACACCAGTTAGTGAAATATAGGTTATATTAATCGAACGATAATTCGATGGAATTCCTATGATAATTTAAAAAAAAAAATATTTTTTTGTTTTATATTATTCATCACAAAAATATTACCATATAATAATAGAAGAATACTAAGTGTTAGCAGAAGAGAAATCTGAATAGAAACAAAAATGAATGCTGGCATGCAACATATATATCGGAATCGATGACGATTTAAATCTAATTAGTAGATAAAAATATAAATATTATAATAAACAATCGATTTTTAGACAAACCTTTGGAATGAAGTGCACGACATAGACGTGTTGCTACAAGACCAAATGTTTCTTCAACATTAGTTGCTAGTTCAGCAATCATACCAGCACTTGCTTTTTCACTTTCAACTGTTGAAACTTTTCCATATTCAGTAAAAATAAATCTAGAATATAAAATAAAATATAATATTTCAATGAAATTTTATCTAAATTTCAAATTACTTCATCTTTTTATAATCAATTGTATCATTTTTTTTTGAACGACGATGAACATATGGATTCATAAAAAGAACTTGAAGTAAAAATCTTAACATTTCTAAACGTTTCTTTATAAATTGTGCTATATTAGCAGTCCATATATAATCTTTATGACGAAGAAGATATCGAATAAGAACAAGAAATGCTATACAAATTATAATCAAACAAACACCAAATGATATGCCAACAATATAATGTATTAAGAAACCAATAAAAAAACCAATAATTAATGCCACAATTACAATCACTGTTAGAAGTAATGGTGAGAATTCCATTGTTGGAAAGTCTGAAAAATAACATTGAAACAAAAACAATTATTTTAAAACATATAGCGTATTTCATAAGTGTTGAAACATGAAAAAA